AGTAAACTCTCAATGGCTGCAAGCAGATAAAAGTTAACGCAGAATCCTTAGAGTTAAGTGGTAAATTCTCTAAGTTTCCGCAAAAAAGAAGAGCCGTGACGAGCTTAAATCACGGTGGCACAACGGAGCTTGCAGCGACGCCCTGGCACGGCGCCATCTTGGTAGTTTCTCATAGTACGCAAAGCAAAAACGCCTAATCTAGTGGGACGAATAAGCCTGGTCAGAGCAGTCATTAAATGAAGTGGATACGGACTGTTGTGGAGACAGTGGCTCAACAGGTGTCTATTATTGGAGTGGACTGGAAAAATTATATTTGGGGTCTATTACAATTGTGGCTTGTACATCACTAGGCTGGCTGCATATGTTGAAAGTGTGTGCCCGTTGGAACCCAATGGAGGAAGAGGGCAGCCGGCCATCCAACAGCTCAGGGTACTGGGATAGGGGCCCACAAGGGGAGCTATGGGATCCACCTGTGGGACCTGAGCCATCCTCTCGCCAGAACAGGCAGCAAAAAAGTCAAGCGATGCTGAGAGAGGAGAAGCCAGTGTTTGCCCAGGACGATTGGACACTGGATGTATTTTAAAGAACTTCAATATGAACATTCGTTAAAACACAAGTCCCAGTCCAAAGCGTCTTATAAACTCATATCGCACGTTATCTCTACACAGAAAGTAAGTAAAGTTCTCACATTCAAGATCTGCTGAGTAGGGATGGATTCAAAAGTCATGTTCACCACTATTCGTCACCTATTGTATGTGTCCAAAAAAAAAGATGGAACCCTCCGTCATGTAGTGGCATTACTGACTGTTGAACCAAAAGACTTTGCCTTGATCGCCACCCCCATCCCCCGGATCCAGGAAATTTTGGAAAATATCGGGCGGCAAACTCACGGGGGGCAAATCATGGTTCAATGACTGGATCAAGGCAAGGCATACCAATCCGGGATTTGTGTGTGAGCAGAGGCCGCCATCCTTAGGAAAATCCGCAAGACGGACGGGATCAGTCCCAAGCTCTCTGAGGTCCTCACCTACATTACAACCTGAGCCTTCAGCCCTGGAGAAGGTGTCCCTGATCCTGTGGAAGACCCTCTTGTGTGATCCCGGTTCCTTAAAACCGCGCAAGCCAAGGAACCGGCTCACTACAGACCAGTCGCACTGGACCTTCCCACCTGATGAAAGGGACAATGAAGCGGCTCATCTCAGCCCATCTCCGCTCTGTGGTCTAAGCCCACCCTGAACAGCTGCAGTTCGCCTACAGGCCCAATTATCGGACGTAGTTAGAGGACGCCGTTCAATCTACTTCCTGCAGCGGGACGCTCTCCCCCTGGAGCCCCACCGGGAGAGCTTGCCTTGTGAGGGTTCGTGTTCTTCGGACTTCTCCAGTGCTTTCAACACCATCAGGCCGAGGTACTGCTGCTGGGGGAAGATGGAGGATCGCAGGAGTGGACAGTAGCATCACTGCTAGACCATCGACTACCTCTCAGACCTGACCACCAGTCAACGTTGCGGTGTGGGTTCTGAGGTGTAGTCTGCAGTTGTGTGGCCCCATCTGGGCACTGTCACTCTCAACGTTTTCTCTTCACCCATCTACACTTCAGACTTCACATACGACAACACACAGCTGTCACCTGCAGAGTTCTCCGCCATAGTGGGCTGTGTGTTAGAGTGGAAACCAACTGGAATATCGTCAGTATATCACAGACTGTCGACTGGTGGAGCGCAACCACTTGTGCTTGAAACCCAGTAAGGACCAAGGAGATGATCATCGACTTCAGAGAAACCACTTCCCCACACGCTGCTGAACATCCAGGGGGGGACATTGAGCTTGTGGACAGCTTACGATTACCTGGGTGTTCACCAGTGGAGGCGGGGGGGGGGTCCCGGCTCAAAAGTGGCTAAAATGATGTCGCCGACATGCCTGCCAATTACCACCTCCGGGCGTGTGGGGTGGTGGACCCGGAATAAGAATTAAGCCAATGCTACATAGCACTAGTGGCCTGTTGGATAGCTCCAGTTAGAGCAATATTTATGGCCCCTTAGATTGTAAGGCGGAGGATCGCATGACTACTAGGGTTGGGCGATATTTTTTTTTGTACCGGCTTATAAGTAAATTAAATGATACAGAAAATTGCCTTTTATACCGGTGAAATCGATCATTTTTTAACACTGAAAACAGCGAGCGGCAAGACACGGTTGTGTGCGGCGCCACTTTAATGCGCATCTGCGCGGCCGTGTAGCAGAGAGGCGTGCAGGGACAACAACAACAGAGAGCAACACCATGCTGAGGGCGGCGCGTTTGAAGACCATTCGGTGAAGACCATGCAGATTGTAGAAGACATTTGTGCCAAAACTGAGGAGCTACCTCAAAATATTGGGAGTAGTTTGGGAAAACTAAGATCAAAAAGAAGCAATTGTGTGTAACCTATCGACAGTGGATCTAATGTTGTGAAAGCAGCAGCTGCCCTAAACCAGTGGTTCCCAAAAGTGGGGGTCCCGAACCCCCGGGGGGTCGCGGGGAACCCCTGGGGGGGGGGTCGCAAGATGATTTCCAAAAAAAAAAAAAAAAAAAAATAAAAAACATTTCGCTAATTAATAGCCCTAAATATTGATATAACATTTGATTTGATTTCAAAAGGACTACTTGTAAATAGATTGTGTTAGGAGAATATAAATTATTTAAATTACGTTTGTAATTTTGTCCAGTCATTGACAGCGTTCAATCAAAAATCAAGTTACGTAGCTTACGTTACGTCCCACGGCAGCGAACAAAGCGGTGTCCAGCAGTTGTTTGCTAAAAACCTAAATGGTGTTTGGAGGCTTCAAACAAATAATAACCTGCTTTTTTAAAATGAACGTGGTAATATCCATCTACAGAAAAACCCGGAGGGAGAGAATAAGTCACATGTTGAGGTCAGGCTCCATGGTGCGAGAAGAGGGAGATGAGGCGCGGAGGGAGACGAAGGCAGCGGTTTAGAAGCAGGGAGAAGAGGGTGGTTTAAAGAGGCCCGGCTTTTCGGACGTCAGTGGTAAAGAGGTCGCACATTAAAAGCGGGTGGGCGGGTGGACCTGCTTTATGCGGTTACTTACAGTAACTTTGGAAAAGAAAGCCGCGGGGGAGATGAAAGCGCAAAAGTCAACAGCAGAGAAAGCGGGGGGCCGCCCGCTTTTTATGTGCGGACCTCTCTTTACGTCTGACTACGAAAAGCCGGGCCACTATACCACCTCATCTACCAGCTGACTTCTCTCCCTCGCTGCCCCTCTCTCCCTCTCTTCGCACCATCAGCATGACCCTCAATGTGATTTTCTCTCCCTCCGGGTTTTTCTGTAGTGAGATATTAACCACGTTTCATTTGAAAGCAGTGTTTATTTGTTTGAGCTCCAAACACCTTTAGTTTTAAGCAAACAAAAACAAGATGGTCACGCTTGTGCTGCGTGCGTAAGCTACGTAACTTGATTTTTGATTGACGGCTGCCTCAATGAATGGACAAAATTACAAACGTAATTTAAATATTTTATATTCTCCTAACACATTAACAAGTAGTCCTTTTGAATCAAACTCAAATGTTAAATCACTAGTTAAGGGCTATTAATTAGCTAAATGTTTTTTTTTTTTTTTTTTTTTTTTGGATACTATCTTGCGACCCCCCCCAGGGGTTCCCTGCGGAACCCCCCGGGGGTCGGGCCCTCACTTTTGGGAACCACTTGTTTAGGGGCAGCTGCTTTCACAACATTAGAAATCCACTGTCGATAGTTACACACAATTGCTTCTTTTGATTCTAGTTCCCAAATACTCCCATATGTTTTGAGGTAGCTCGCGTTTGGGCACAATGTCTTCTACACTCTGCATGTCTTCACCATGGTCTTCACCGCCGCCTCAGCCATATTGTTTGCTCTCTGTTGTTGTTGTCCCTGCACGCCGCTCTGCTAACACGTGCCGCGCAGATGCGTCATTAAAGTGCGCCGCACACAAACCGTGTCTTCGCTTCGCTGTTTTCAGGTGTAATGATCGTTTTCACGGTATAAGGCATTTTCTTTATCATTTAATATACTCTATAACGGTACAAAAAAACATGCCCAACCCTAGTAGTCATGGCTATCTCCGCCTTACAATCTAATGGGCCAAAAAAATACTTGTCTACTGGAAGCTATCCCTAACATGGCCACAAGTGCTAGGTTAGAAGTTGGCTAAATCTTATTCGGGTCCACCCCACCGGCCCGTGACGGTGGTATTTGCAGCATGTCGGCGCACATCATTTTAGCCACTTTTGAGCCGGGACCCGCCTCCACTGGTGAACACCCCAGGTAATTTAAGCTGCTCCCCCAGCTCAATGTCTCCACCCTGGATGTTCAGCAGCGTGTAGGGAAAGTGGTTTTCTCCTGAAGTCGAAGATCATCTCCTTGGTCTTACTGGTGTTCAAGCACAAGTGGTTGGCTCACACATGTCGACAGCTGTGATAAAACTGACGATATTCCAGTTGGTTCCCCTTTTTCAAAAACCACACAGCCCACGATGGCGGAGAACTTGCAGGTGGACAGCTGTGTGTGTGTCGTATGTGAGTCTGAAGGTCGTTAGATGGTGAAAGTTGAAACGGTAGGAGAGGACCAGTCCCTGATGGGGCCCAGAACTGCCGCAGACTACCACCTCTGAACCCACAGCCGCACGTATCTGTGGGTCGGTCTGAGAGGTAGTCGATGGTCCCTGCAGTTGATGGGCTACTGTCCACTCCTGCGACCTCATCTTCCCCCGCAGCAGGAGTACCGGCCTGATGGTGTTGAAAGCACTGGAGAAGTCGAAAGAACACGACCCTCACAGCGCTGCCCGGTGGGCTCCAGGTGGTCGAGAATTTTGGAGCGTCCGCTGCGAGATAGTATGATGCGTGGCGTCCTCTACTCCGATATGGGCTGTAGGCGCACTGCAGCGGAGTCCAGGTTGGGGCTGACCCACAGAGCGGAGATGGGTTGAGGGGATGAGCCCGCTTCATGGCATCATCATGTGGGAGGTCAGAACCCCACACCCCCCCACTCCCCCCCCCCCACCCCCACACCCCACACCCCCCCCCCGCACCCACCCCCCCACCCCCCCCCACAAACCCCCCCCACCCCCCCCACCCGACCCCCACCCCCCTCCCCCCCCCCACCCCCACCCCCACCCCCCAAACCACCCCCACCCCAACCACCCACCCCCCACCCCAAACCCCCCCCCCCCCCCCCATCCCCCAACCCACCACAACCACCACCAACCCCAAACACCCCACCCCCCCCGTTCTGTAGTGAGCCGGTTCCTTGGCTTGCGCGGTATTAGGAACCGGGAGCACACACTAGGTCTTCCACAGGACAGGGACCTTCTCCAGGCTGAGGCTCAGGTTGTAGATGTAGGTGTGGAACTCAGAGAGTGGGACCGATCCCGTACGGGGCTTGCGGATTCCTAGTAATGGGTCGGCTCTGCCTCACACACAAATCCCGTGGTATGCCTTGCCTTGATCAGTACAGTGAACCATGAGTTGGCCCCCCGTGAGTTGTCCCCGATATTTTCCAAAATTTCCTGGATCCGGGGGAAGGGTGGGCGGTGGCGATCAGGCAAGTCATTTTGGTTTCAACAGTCTGTAATCCACAACATAGACCGGAGGGTTCCATCTTTTTTTTGGGACACATTACAATAGGTGACGAAATAGTGTGAACATGACTTTTGAATCCATCCTTACTCAGCGTCTTGAATGTTGAGACTTTACTTTCTGGTAGAAGATGACGTGCGATAGGAGTTATAAGACCTTTGGATGGGTACGTATGTGTTTTAACTGAATGTTCATTGAAGTTCTTTAATAATCAGTGTCCCAATCGTCCTTGGCAAACACGTGGCTCTCCTATCTCAGCAACTGCTTGACTTTTTTTGCTGCTGTCTGGAGAGAGATGGCTCAGGTCCACGGTGGATCCCATAGCTCCCCTTGTGGCCCCTCCCATGTACCCTGAGCTGTTGATGCCGTGCTGCCCTCTTCCTCCTGGGGTTCCATCGGGCACACCTTTCAACACTATGCAGCCAGCCTAGTGTTGTACAGCCACAATTGTAAGAGTCCAATATTATTTTTCCAGTCCACTCCAATAATAGACTCCTGTGAGCCACTGTCCCAAAAACAGTCGTATCCACTATTTAATGACGCTATGACCAGGGGGCATATTCGTCCACTGCTTAGCGGTTTGTCTTGCGTAGTACTAGGTGAGAAACTCCAAGATGGCGCCGTGCCAGGAGCGTCGCTGCAAGTGCTCCGTTGTGCACCGTTGATTTAAGTAGTCAGCGGCTCTTCTTTTTGCGGAAACTTAGAGAGTTACCAATAACTCTAAGATTCTGCTTAACTTTCATCGCGGCACCAATGAGAGTTTACTTGTTGGTTCTGTGACTGTGTGGTTTCGTAACATCACAAATAAAGAAAAGAGCGTTAAAAAAGGTTCTTCGCTCTGCAAAGAGGGACTGTGGGCTGTACGTTCTGTTCTGGAGGTTTTTATGAATCCAGACTCTATAAACAGAGCTATTAAAATCATCAATGACATCTTTCTGGCCACCCTGGGAAAAAGCCTGTTTCCAGCTTCTTCCCTCTGGAAGAAGATATCGGTCGCTGAGATGCAGACATCTCGCTAACAGAGAACTTTAATTCCTGCTATGACCCCTTGTATCGTTTTTGTTGATCGGTTGCCACCGGGACAAGCTGTTGTTTTTTATATTCTTTTATTTTCAGTGTAGGTGTATTTTATATTACATTGTATCCGTGCTTTTGGTCTGTCGGTGCACACAGAGTACCTTTTTGCAAATGTTTTCCAATGTCGTTTTTATACTGCACATGCTAATAAAATGAATCTGACATCGAGGGGGCTCTGTCCTGGTAGAACTGGCTTCAGTTTACCAGATGTACCAAAGGTCAATTTAATTAGACGAGGCTGAACATGAGTGACTTTACGAAAGCCAATAAGCCCAGTGGTCAGAACTGCCACATTTATAACTGTGGTTACACTTGCCTTGAGGATTGGTGATCTGGCAATGATGACACCTTCCCGGGGGTCTCTGGCGTTGCCTGAAAGTTCCTGCCCGAGCGGCGTGGTAAGATCTGTGTGGTGTGGGGGTCTTTGGGCTTGCTGGAGGCCTGAGAGAGCTGTGTAGACTTGTTGTATAGCTTCACAGATTGCTTTTATTGCCTTTGATCATTTTTCCGTCAAAGTCTCACGTTTTTGGGGGGTTCACTGGGCATGTTATTGTGGATGTGGGGCTGTGCTCTCCCTGTTAAATGTAAGGTCCTCCACCATTGCAGAATAATCACTGCTTTGGACTGGTCGCTAATTGGTTTTTTCATTCCGATTTCCAGTGTGTATGCATCTGTAACTTTCTCCAACAGCACTTCAGACACATTTAATCTCGTAGATATGGCTTTAAATCAGTTCTTATGGTGTCTGTCAATCGCCTGGTAAGTACAGTTTGCAAAGAATTGAATCTGTGATAAATCCGGGTGTATTTGGTCCCACTTTGGGCCCTTTCGGATAGCAAATAAAATTTGCCGTCTTAAGTCCATTGCTCCTGAGCACAAACTGAATTGGTGTCTCCCTGGGAGTCCAGTTCTGTCCAGGACCTACTGTAACATTATTTAGTGCTTTTTGGATCTTGACTCTCCAAACTGGGAATATCCAAGTTTGTCTTTTTGATGTTGGTTCACCAACTGTCCCATTATACGTTCAGTTCTTTTCTGTACAATTGGTGCACAAATGGTGGTTGGCATTAAATGGAGTCATAGTCACATGGAAACGGCACTGAATAGTGGGTGCAGCACGCGGGGCAGATGCACTTTGGGTTATGTGATGCAGTACTTCTGTATCCAGCAGAGGGAGAGCTGGCGCCGCAGGAAGTAGCTGAGGGTACAATCTTAATTCATCAATGCGGACAGTAAACTATGAGCAACAACGATAATCCTTCATCCTCGGAGCGAGACAACATCTTCTCCTTCCAGATTCTGTAGTGATAGTCCTCATTGCAACGAGGCTAAGGTCCTTGTCCTCTTCACTACAGATGCTCCCAAAGATTGGAACAAAGATATATTAAATCCGCAGCACAGACAAAGTCATTAGATTTTCCTCAATCCGTCCATTGCATTCTCCAATCTCCGACATCTTCGAATGTTAAGTATACATATTTGTAAAGTTTTTACCGTGCGTACAGGTAAACAGCTTCAGTCTCGTGAGTGCGCTGATGCCTCTGGCCTGAAGCTGGTGGCTTTGTAGGGGTTAAACTCCAAACTCTGCTCTTTTCCACAACAGCGTCGTTCCAATGCGATCTCCCAAACCCGAGCAGAATCACCAAGATTCGAAGTTGCACTCTTAAATGACCAGGAACAATACAAATAGTCGTTTTACAACGTTTTTGGTCCCCGTTCCGAGTCACCGGTAAAGGCTACGAGGGTGACTAAATCATGATCGCACCCGTCAAACACTCACTAGTTCGCAGGTGTGGCCGTGGTTGATACATTTGCAGCTAGCCCCTCAATGATAAAATACGTGCATAGATTTATTAATATCAATCAAATTCAATCAAAGTTTATTTGTAGCAGCGCCTTTATACACGGGCAACACAAAGCGCTTCACAGTCCCACATCCAAAAATCATCACATAAAAACAAACACCAGAATCACAATTTAAAACATTTTAAAATCCACACAAAAGATTAAAACACAATTAAAACATTAAAATCACACTTAAGAATTAAAACATTAAAAACTTTCAAAATTTACAAGAAATTTTTTACAAAAAAATAAAAAAATTGACAGCACGTGCATTTAAAAATGGAGAATAAAATCCCTTCAGTTATATGCACAGGCAACAGAAACAGTCTTTAACCGGATTTGAACATTGACAGAGTAGAACGCATCCCTACATTTTCAGGGAGATGCCTGTTCCAGATCTTAGCTGCATGGATCTGAAACGCAGCCTCCCCATGTTTGGTTCTCACCTGGGCACCTGCAGGAGGCCAGTCCTGTGCTCCTCAGAGTCGGGCGGTTCATATGACACCAACATTGTCACTAATGTATTCTGGTGTTTAGCAAGGCCATGGAGAGACTTGTACACAAGCAGAGCGTTTAAAATCTATTCTTTGAGCCAACAGGAAGCCAGTGAGGGACTGAGGACTCGGACTAATATGGTCATACTTCCTGGTTCTTTCCAGGACTCTAGCTGCTGCAATTTTGGATGTACTGCAGCTGCTTACAGGTCTGTTTGGACAGACCCTGTAAGCAGGCCATTGCAGTAGTCTAGCATGCTGGAGACAAAATGCATGGACAAGAATCTCCAAGTCTGACCCTGGACACTATATTTCTAACTTTGGCAATGTTCTTCAGATGTAAAAAGCTGGTGATGTTATTGATTTTATGTGGCTATTGAAAATTTAGGTCTGAGCCAGTATTACCCCATATTTCTGACCTTGTCTGAAGGAAGTAGTTACGGAGAGGAGGACTGAAGTGGACAAATGGACGCCCTCTCTTGGTTTCTGGGGACCAAAGGACAATGATTTCGGTTTTGTCTGCATTTAGCTGGAGGAAATTATGTTGCATCCACGTCACTGATCTGTTGGATTACAGTAAGGAGCATATTCAGTGGTCCAGTTCTCCTGCAGTCAGTGAGACATTGATCTGAGAGTAGTCAGCGTAATTGTGGTAGGACACTTTGTTTCTTAGTATTAACTGACCTAACGGTCAAGCATGTAGAGAATTAAATAGTGAAGGGTCCCAGGATCGACCCTGTGGTACACCACAGGTCAGGGCCACATCATCTGAGACGCCAAGTCTCCAAATCTCAACAGAGTACTTCCTCTCCTCCAGGTAAGACCTAAACCAGGTCTAGGGGACTGTGCCAGAGTGGACACCAGACCAGTCCTCCAGTCTCTGCGATGAGGATCTCATGGTCGACAGTGTCGAACGCGGCACTAGAATCTAACATGACCAAAACTGTGACTTCTACCTGCTAAAACAGTGTGAAGTTCGGAATGTCGTTTGTTACTCTTCATAGAGCGGTCCAGTGCTGTGGTGGGGTCTAAACCCAGACTGGAAACATATCAAAAGAATTATCATTGTTAAAAATTCAGTAAGTTGTTGGTGAGCCACTTTTTCAAGAATTTTCCAATAAATGGCCAGTTAGATGATGGGGCGATAATTTTAAGTCCCGCAGGATCCAGACTGCTCTTTTTTAGGAGAGGTCTTATGACTGCTGTTTTAAGGCCATATGGAAATGTTCCTGACATGACAGATACAAGTATTACAATGTTGTGTCAGTGAAGGTAACAAACTGCCTCAGGACGGACTTCAGAAATTTAGAGGGCATATATCCAGGATACATGTGGAGGAGTCAGACCTAATGATTATCTTTTTGACAGTTTCAGTATCCACAGGTGCAACAAAGTGGAGTTAGCTCAAAAGCATTCTATGGCTGTTGCATTGTTATAACGTGCTGTGGAGGTGATAGTGTTTTGTGTTCTTGTACTTTGTCATCGAAAAACTGTGCGGAACTAACACCTAGATTTAGAGGAAAAATTCTAGGGGGGCAACTTTACAGGGGGGTTCGTTCAATTACCAAACTGGTTGAACAAAACACAAAATTGTTACTGCAAACTCCAATAATGTCAGGAAAAATAAATTTCTCTTGGTCTACGTAGAACCCGGTTAAATTCACCAACTCCATCTTTAAAGATTTCATAATCGCCCTGGAAATTGGGACTTTCGCCACTTCCGTTCGGGCCCTCCGGCAATCCCTTGCTTCTGTGCCTACCGAAGGTTGCCTTAGTCCATGGACCTTTTTCTTACTGGTAACTATTTATAAACCGTCACAGGAGCCAATGGCGTCCAGAACAGTCAGAACACCTGGGTGGTGACAGAGTTATACAATTCATCAACAGTAGAAGCATGGGAGTTCTCAAATTTAGCTTCCCATGAACAGTTCACTTGTGTTATCATTGTATGTGTCTTCTTCTATCAGTTGTAAATTCAGCTGGTGGTTTGCTAGCAAAAACACATGTCAAAAAATTCACAGAAATGATCTTTCTGACAAAGCACATCAACTACATTATAATTTGATACATTAACCCCTTTGTAAAATTAGCAGGTATCAAGAGTGTGCCCCTGCTGTGGGTAGGGCCCACTCACGTTGCTGAATGAACAAAGGTCTCAAAGTACCAGAAGCAGCTCATTTGCATTTTCTGTCATCAACATTATCAACATTGTTACATTAAAATCACCGTGTAATAATCTAAAAACTAACAAAAATCTGTGCACTCGAATGAAAGTTAGTTCAGTAAAATGGTCAATAAGAATCGCAAAACATGACTGTGGTGGCATGTACAGGCACAACTGAAAAGAGAGTAGATGAATTGCTTTTGTTCCATTTTAAAAAGAAAATCTACTCAAACGATTGGAAAAATTTCCAAGGGGCATTTCTATGGGAGACGAAAAGTGCTCTCTGAAAAAACTGCAGCTATGCCTCCCCCTTTTGTTTTCTGCGTATTTCGGAATTCGAATTTAAAATTGGGTGGTGTTGCTTCTATTAGAACTGCATTCCTGTATTTTGGTCGAGCCATGTTTCAGCCATAAGCATAAAAATCAAGATCATAAGAAGTTGATAAAATTATTAAATAAAAATGACTTTGTTACATAGAGATATGGACATTCAGCATAGCAAGTTTAAAAAAAAACGTCAGAGTCGATTAAATTGGTTGATTGATTTCTACAGGGAACAGAAATTAGCTTTGCAGAGTTGGACGGTCTAACTGCTGTCCTGTTTTGATTTCGGTTTTTTGATTTAAATAACATTTTTTGAGCTGGTGCGAGGAAACACACACAGTCTCAATTGGCTTAAATGTGAAAACCCTTGTTTGTGTTCTTTAGCTCCCAGAGTCAGAAGGGAGTCAGCACGTTCAGTGTTTGGACTGGTAATGCACTGCCAGACGGAGGGAGCAGTGTTTGCACCGTTTTGTACTCACCCGGTGTGGGTGAGCAGGAGGCGGGGGAGTGCGGTGGGGTCCGAGGGGGCTTCAGATGTAAAACAGGTCACGCCCCCCCTCGGGGGAACGCTGAACAACATAAGTATGTAATCCATCAACAGGCTGCTACCGTATCTGTTTGGGTTGTAAATCCCGTCTGGACGATAGGGCCTTCGTTATCGTTTCCAGAAAGGGCAAAGTTATTCACAAAGACAATTTTTAAAGAGCTGCATGTAGCCCCTGAAGCCACACATGTACAGCGCCACCAACACGCACTGTAGAGGCAGTCACCTCTATTGTTTACAGTCTGGATTGGACCAGACAATAAAAAAACAGATAGACCGGGGATTTGAAGGAGGTGGAACAGATCCATAATCAATAAAAAAAAAACAAAAAATGGGTTTTTTTCCTTCGTGACTTCTGGACTGCTGAGTTCATGTCGTTAAATTCCCACATGCACGACTACCGTTGGGAAGACGAGTATCAGGCACCGGGAATGAAGCAGAGGATGGGAGGACGGATGAGCAGGTTCTGGTCGTAGCTCCGGGAATACCGCGAGTGACCGCGTTTTAAAGAAGCGGACGAGACTCACGATGGAATTCTCACAATAAATCAGAGTGTCGGGGCGAAGAGTGGCCTCGGAGAAGGAGCTCGGTGGACGGAACAACAGCGGGTTCACCCGAAGCAGGACCCGGCCTCGAGCGCCGCTGTGAACACATGGATGGAGGAGGAGCGGGGGGTGCGGACTCTCAGCTAAAGGCGACCCACGCTGTGAATGCTCGGGGACGATGGAGACGGATGAGAGGGGCTGCTCTGGGCGCTGCTGCTGAACCCGGTGGAGGTGAGCGGGTGGTGATGATGGCTCGCTACCCTACAGTCTGAGGCTGCTGGCACTGGGGTCAAAGAAGTGGGAACAGGCCAACATGGCTGGTGGACCGCTCTTTCGCCTGAGGACTGCTTCCTTTAGGAGCGTTTTTCTCGCAGTGACTTGGATCATCGAGCAGTAGAGGTACGCTGCAGTGTCCAGGGATTCTGCTTGAGGGGGCCGGGCGATGTCGGTGGTGGAGGAGGGACTTTTGCCTGCATAGGCGTGTTTGCCAGACTCAGGACATGGGCCCACGGCGCATGGATGGCCCTCGGAATCCGCGGGCTCGTTATTCGGAAAGCGGGCGCTTAGGGTAGAACAGGAGGGCCGGAGTGACGGATCTTTCTCCCACAACGACGTGTCGACAATTATGCATCGCTCAGTGACATCAGCCGTGAGTGCTGCCCACCAGCGACTTCAAAAAGTTTGGACACTAGAGATTGTTTCTAATTCAACTCTGCGGAGAGACGAAGGACTTCTTTTCGTAGATCTGCAATGGTGGAACGGTCGCTCTCACGGAGCTCCAAGGTGAGGCGACTAAATAATGTGCATATTGAGCAAATTTCATTGTCACTTTCCAGTCCTCGTTAGCTAGTGTTAGCCTCTGTGCTTACTAGTGGGTTTCAGTCGGGACTAAGTGCTATTTGTGAAACCACTGAATTAAAAGATAAAACACTCAGATATATTAAAAAACATGAACAATAAAAAACGCGATATAAAAGTTGTTAAAAAGTTTACTAAAAAGGTGCTACAGAGCAGCCCTTGCAGTACTGCTTACTTTGACACCACCTGCGTTGATGAGATTTGTGAGTGTGTTGCGAGTCATAATATGGCCCACTAGTTGAAAATAAGTACTGTAACTGTTGATTTGTATTAACATCAGTAGGACATTTTCTTTTGACACTTCCTGTCTCAACGGATAGTCGAGTGGCTCGCGCAACATCAGGACGGAAAAACTTTACAAAGTGTAAGACGTTTTCACACAGCTGGTCTAGACAAACGGTCATATAGAAACTGCACTAAATGGCATTAAAAGACAAAGACCAAAGTTTAGCTACTGTTGAGATAGAAGGAAAACAAGGTTATGGAAGGATTTTATTTGTGAAAACAATTGTAAGTTTCTTTAAAAGTGTAAATTAAATAGCAAAAGTAATGTAACGGTAACAATGTAT